AGGACTTGATCCCAGGACCCTGGATCATGACCTGAGCTGAAGGCAGAAGCTTAACTGACTGAGCCACCCAGGCGTCCCATGAATCCTGCTTTTTCTTAAGTACTTTATAGGGAGGTCTTTAGTATTACTATTAATATCAGAATATCAAAATTGTTCGAAGGGTTAGAGGCTAGAGGAGTTTTGCTCTGTTTAGCATTGTGTAAAAATATTCTGAGAGTTCTCAGTTAATCTTCTTCTGGCTCAGCCAGAGAAAGCAACCAAGTCCTCTTTCTTTGTGTGGCCTCCTCTCTAGGATTTACGAGTCTAATTCTTGGACAAGGTCTCAAAGTTAGTGCTGAGTACACTATCTTTTACTATAGCCACCTTAGGATAAACCAGGGAGAGCTCTGAGCTGCAGGGGAGATCTATTACCACCATAACTCTTGGCTCATCCTGGAGCTTTCTTTCTGGCTTTAGTAGAAACACTGAAATTATGAAACTTTGTATCTTGCACCATGATCCCACATGAGATTCATGAATCTTCAGCTCCATACAGAAAACCTGGTTCTCTGACTACAACTGCCCACTAGACAAATTACTATCAACGACCCCATTATTTCTGATTAGTAGAGGTGAACCTTACCTTACCTGAATGTAAATAAGTGCCAGTAAGGTTCTTGAATTCCTTCATCCTTAAAAATCTACAGCTCTTAACATACACTGTAAATAGCATCATATCATGAATTAAATCTTTATCATGAAATTGGATACATTTCCTAAGCTAATTTTAATTGCTTCAAGAAATTGCTTAACATTGTAGATCAATCCCCAGGTCTGAGATGACATTTCCCTCACAGAATTAATTATTAATACCCTGATCATTTGCTTAAGACATTAATAGTTTTCATTGATCAGCACATCCTGTTTATCTAAAATGGTCTAATCACCATGCATGTTAGAAAAGTATCTGAACATATCCAATTAGAAATGCTGCCTACTTTCAGCTACATCAGCAGATCAGAAGTTAAGAGTCCCTTTTGTCTTCACAACATATTAGTCTAGCTTTATCAGAAACTGAGCTATTTAATAGCACAAAAGAAAGATGAGTTCTCTAATGATGGTTCTTCACCTTTATTAGCTTCCTGGTAGGCGTAAAGGCTTCTCAGTGACCACACAGTATAAATTAATGCTAAGAGCCCTTGATTAATGAGCTTGTGTTATTCCATGTTTTCATGTGAGCCTGTGTTCCGTCACAGTGTTTTCCTTATAAGTAGGAGTGAGATGAGAAACCCCAGGTTATTATCAGGATAAAAATATTGGATGTACAGTAATAATATCTAGCATTTGTATGGCACTGTATAGTTTTAAAAGAGGTTTCATTTACTTAACAAGAAGGTATCCTTGAAACAATCTTAAGAAGGAGGGAGGATCGGGTAAATACCCAGTACCATGCAACTAGTTATAGCCAGAATTGTAAAGAGAATTTGAGTCTCCCAGTTTCCTAGCTTTAAGTCTCCCAGTTTCCTAGCTTTCTCCTTTGACTAAGTGATAAATAGGTGGCATCCTGCTCATCCTTTAAATGCAGTGGGAACTCTTCTCCTTTATGACATCTCCCAGGCCAGAAAGTCTCTTCCTTCCTTCACAATGGCATATTGTATTGCAGTTTTATGAAGTGTGGGTAACTGCCCCTATAGGAGTAGGAGATCCTTTAGGCTAGACCTGGTTGTCTGCGTTTTGGCAGGTCCAGTGCCTCACCTAGTGTCTGGAAAGCAAAAGGTGCCCCATCTATGCATGAATACATGGCTTGCTGGCAGTATGGAGGGAGAAGGGGTGGGTAGATGAGAGCAAGTGCAGTCCTAGTTCTGTTTTACTAACGTCATGGTGCAGACCTTTGGCACCTGACGTTAATTTGACATTGTTTGGTTCATACATTGTTTAAGAAAATATTTTGAACTGATTTCCAATATTTAAAACTTGGTAGATTTTCAAAAATACAATAATATTTAAAAACTTTCTTTGAAAAGTTGTAGGTTGTCTTGCAACCCTGGGTCTGTGCCCCCTATGTTAGCCATCAGCTTGAGCTAAGGAGCACCCACCCGCTCCTTAGCCCACCAGGACATTGATTGTGTTCTCCAGAGTGACCCGTTTGTCCGCCTACTTCACTCATTCACTTGCTTTGTAGCCTTTGGAATACAGCCCCTTTCTTTACAACAAAGTTCTCCTATTTTATTTTTTATTTTTTATTTATTTATTTTTAAAGATTTTATTTATTTATTTGAGAGAGAGAATGAGATAGAGAGAGAGAGCATGAGAGGGGGGAGGGTCAGAAGGCGAAGCAGGCTCCCCGCTGAGCAAGCAGGGAGCCCGATGCGGGACTCGATCCCGGGACTCCAGGATCATGACCTGAGTTGAAGGCAGTGGCTTAACCAACTGAGCCACCCAGGCGCCCAAAGTTCTCCTATTTTAAAGATTTCTGGATAATGGAAGAATTACTGTTTGTTTTTCTTTTTTAATTTTATTTATTTATTTGACAGAGAGAGAGAGACAGCGCGAAGAGGGAACACAAGCAGGGGGAGTGGGAGAGGGAGAAGCAGGCTTCCTGTGGAGCAGGGAGCCTGATGCAGGGCTCGATCCCAGGACCCTGGGATCATGACCTGAGCTGAAGGCAGACACTTAATGACTGAGCCACCCAGGCGCCCGAAAAATTACTGTTTTTAATCATGTTCTGTATTTGTCCAAAAGAACCTAGTAGTCAGGTACTCATAGATAGTAAGATTTCTCCCAGTAGGCACTGGAGCTGCACATTTTATTGGATTCTAGAGATGAAACACAGAGTAAGGAAAAAATGTTTAAATTGATAGAGTAGTTATAATTTCACCACGTGTAACTCCATTCTAAAACTTGGGATTTTTTCCATGTTGACGTTTTTAGTGTATTATTAATTGGAAAATAAATAAGAACAGGGACTGGAGACTAAGGGATTGGGTAGGACCTTATTAAAAAAAAAAAATCCATTCCCCTGCCTTTGGTTTATATCTAATCAGAGCTGTTCTTTCTTTCACTCAGTAGCCACAGGGACACACCAGTTCCATTCCCTGCCCAAGTATTATTTGGAAGGAAAGGAAAGGCAGCTTCTTTGCTTCATATTCATAATTTAACATACTTTTCTCTTCTTTAATAGCACTTTTCCACAAGTGAGTTTTATTTGTATTCAGGTAAAAACAAATTTGCAGAGGCCACAAGGAGAAGTATCTGCAAATCTCATTGTAATGTCTCTTCTTTCCCACAGATTAAAGGTTGAACAAAACTTAAAAGAAGCAGCGGTTCTATTCACTTGTTCTTGGACTTGAAACTCCTTTGACCTCGGAAACTGAAGATGAGGTTGCCATGGGAACTGCTGGTACTGCAGTCATTCATGTTGTGCCTTGCAGGTAGAGTGTCATTTAAAACCTTTTTGATTTAAAAATGCCACTGTATTTCACACTAATTCAAAAGTGGGCCTTCACTTTAGATGGCAATGATAAAATCGAAAGAGTGCACATTACTACGACTAGCATTTGCTGACACTGTTAAATATACTTTCCTGATGGTCTTTTAGTGGCTCTTTTCATGGTACTGTATCCAAAGCTAGATATTGATGTTTCACCTGCCTATCCAGTCCTTTTAGAGTTCTTTGAGCCATTATTTAGTTTGAAAGTTGTTATTTTTGCTCATCCCACTGATCAATTGCACAAAGATATTGGGCAATAAAACCGATAATATAGTCTTGAGTATCACCTACTTTGTTGTCAGCGGATGGAAGTTTATTTGGGTAGCTCTTTCAATATCTTTGTTAATATTGCTCCATCTTTTGATAGTAAGTCTCTTTCTTTTACATTTTGATACACCTATAGTTAGCAGAAGACAGTAACTAAAAAGACAAGAGTTTTTTTTTACCATATACCAATGGTCAACTAGTAGACAAGGGCTTTGAAAAGTTCAGACACGCTGTTTATTACTTTCTCAGTTTTCTGGAAGATATGAGCCTAGCAGTTGACATACATAATGCAAATGTTGATGCAACTTAAGCCAACATGTGCTGAGAATTGGTTTTCAGGTTGGGATGGTGGGCATCTTTCCAGGCCTTTTTGAAGTAAGTCTAGTTGACCTGCTTTGTTATTCAGAGTATTGAGTCCAAGAGGGACACCTGGAATATATTTGCATTTTTATAAAATAAAATAAAAATGACTTTCAGGTCACCATTACTTTGATTCATGACTTCATTCAAATAATGTTACTGAGTACCTTGCAAAGAACCAGGTTTGTGCTAGTATCTGGGAATATGATCCTGAGCAGGATAGACAAAATTACTGCTCCCTTAAAGCTCTATTTGCTGAGTTCTATAGCTATATAAATTGAAAGCTTGATAGAACAGATTATTTCTAATTGGTATACAATTAAAGGTAGCAGTGGTAATCCTAACATATACAGGTCACTTATTCCATGCCAGGCACTATGTTAAGCTCTTGTACTTTAGCTCATTTACTTATATCATGACCACTAAGAAGTCGGTATTAACTATTTATTTTTATTTGCATCATTATTATTATTAATGTCATTACTGAAGCATCAAGAAGTTAAGAAACTTACCCACAGTCACCAAACCAGTAAGTGATGAAACTGTTAAGTTTTAGACTCAAGCAGACTAACTCCAGAATCCATAGTTTTGATCATTATAATATAGTCCTTTAGCTATATTGTTGATTTGTCCAGTTCATGCTTACAAATTTATTCTTGAAATTTTGGTTTTCATTCTTACTATGTTTTTCTAAATGCAAACCGTCATCCACTCATAAGCTTTATAATGCCCTACCTTTAAATTCTGAACCTCTTGCCTTCATGAACATCCTCACCATTCCCTGATTATGGACATTTTGGCGTCTAGACACCTGTTTTAGCTTTATCACTTTTCTCCTTCATCTGGTCAGAGCCTAAATCTTGTCATTACCCACCCTGCCCCCAGAAATGTACATTAGGCTTTGTGCCTCAGTTGCTTTTCTCCAGTCTTTACATGTACCTTGAGCCTCCTAAAAAGGCATCAACTGAGTCAGTCTGGTTCTAACTTCTCATATTCTGGGATGAACATATTCTTTAAAGCTTGAAGCAGTGAATTGATTTCTCAGTATTTGACTACAGCAATGTGCTTATTTATTTAACCCAGTGTGCTAAATGTCAAGAAATTAAAGAGTTGAAAATCAAGGAAGACATTAATCTTCTCAGTTGTATTTTGAAAAACTTGGAATTCTCAGTGAAGATGAGTACCTGTATCTTTTTTTATTCAGTTAGCTTTTTGTAGGGAATCAGTCAGTATATTGATTGCTTTGGTGAGCCTTTTTTGTGAAGTGTTTCACATGGCATTAATATTCCCTTACCATATGCCTCCTTACCAGTGTAGGTAAAGTCGAGCTTTAATTAATGTTTTTGTTTTCTTGCTGTTTGTCTTGATTTCATTAATTTATATAGCACTCAGCACTCTGAATTTTGAACAGATTTCTTTAACTGCTTTAGCTTCTCATTTTTTTTCCTTTCCTATACTTTCTTAGTCGTAGATTTCATGGTAAGTTTTTGGCAAGGAAAATATTTGTGTCTCTTATGTTTACCATAATTAGTGGATCTCAAATGGGCCTTTTCCTAAATAAGATAGAAGATCCAAATGTATAAGCAGACTGCTCCTGCAAGATATAGATCTTGAAAGTTCTGCTAATTATTTAAGGGTATTGGTTAGTAATTTATGGTACAATGGAAATATTCTTTTCTTTTGCCAAATACTAGACTTAATCTCTGACAACAATTAAAAAAAAAAAAAGGAGTAGTCTGAAAGTCCAGTCTCTACAAAATTGGTTTTATTATCCTGCCTCTTAGTGAATTTAAACCAGGGATCACAAAACTCTGCTACCTGAACGAACAAGGAAGCTAACAAATGAGTGAAACATTCTTCAAGGAATAGTGACTCCTCCATACAATATAGGATGCTGGTGATGGTGGAAAACTGGAGAAAACACGTCCCACTAAATTAGCAACCAGTGCCCAGCTCTAGTCCTTTGTGCTAGGTCTTCCAGTTCTTCAACACTTTTATGCATAAACCTCCTAATTTTTTTTTAACATTGCCAACCAATTCAAATTAATTTTAAAAATGAAAATAAAAAGGCTGCACAAGACAGACCAAAATGGTCTTCAGGCTAGAGATGCAGTTCCTGGTCTGCTGGTTTACAAAGTTTATTTCAAGTGCTTGGTTTTTCTTTGTTATTATACACATCGCCAATACACTAAATGTTGGGGGTCTCTGTACTAAGTCTTCCTTTTGCCAAGAATTTTCTTCCACTAAATGTCCCTGTCACTTACCCTCTAACCTTATTTGGATCAGTGCTTAAATGCCACTTAATTGGCTTTTCTTGACAATAATAAACAAATTAATATTAGTGAAAATAGCAATATTTTCTTTCACCAACATTCTATACCCCTCTTATTTTATTTTTCTCTAGGTTTCTTATCAAATATGAATAACTATATATTTTATTTGTCTTTATACTAAATGCCTTTACCCATTAAATTGAAGCTTTATTCAGGCAGGTATTTTCTAGATCACTGCTATATCCCCAGCATCTTCAAAATGCCTAGTGAACAATGCCATACAATAATTAAATAAATATATTTCAAATGAGTGCATGCTGCATACTGGCCAGATATGAGAGAGAGAGAAAGAGAGAGAACAGTCTTCAATTTTAAGGTGGATTATGAACCCAAGGCCGACTATAGTCACCTTTGTGTTAAGGGAGGGAAGTAGCCACCTCTGAAGCTAATCCATACAAATTTTTATTTTACACACACACATACATACATATATATAGGTAAATAAGTATATATTTAAACATATATATGTAAATAGGTATATATTTATATTTAAACATATAAAATAGGTATATATATTTAAACCTAATATATGTATATATGAAAATATATACATATATGTATATATAATGTATATGTATAAAGTATAATGAAGTATAATATATAAAGTATAATGAAAATATATACATATATTAGGTTTAAATAGGTAAAGTATGAGAATTGGTTTATGTGCCTTAAACTCTAGAGGTTCTTGGTATAACACCACTTTGCCCCTTTCTTACTTCAGCTACTGCTGGGTGCATTGTGCCCCCTGTGTGTTTTTCTGCCTCCAGTCTTTGTCTAAAGTTACAAGCAAGGGGAGCTATGAGAAGGTCACTCTTCTCTGCTACATTCCTTGACCAGTGAGGTATGAGGAGAAGTAGTAAATACCACAGCCTCCTGTCATTTAGGAGGACAGTTATTAGGCACATTCTACACAGTTCCTTACAGATCCCCAGAAAAGACTGAATCTCAGTTGCCCACAGTAGTTCACCCCTGCTTCCTAGGATCATCTCCCAAATAAACTAGCTGTTTCCAAATCCTTCCCTCACACTCTGCTTTTGGGGGAATCCAAATCAAAAATATATACACACCAATTAATAGTAGAGCAGCCACCCAGTATTAGTCATGTCAGTAATTAGGAAGAAGCCAGACAGGAAACATAGTTTTGACAGAGATGATTGACGTGCTATGATGTATATCCATATAGGTATATGTATGCAGTTACTTATATGAGTGCATGTACACGTGCCTTTATATGGGTACATGTTGAGTGTTATCTAGGTCCTGCAACCAGATAATATTTTACTATTAACCAACTCTTTCATTGTTTTTACTGTTTACTAATTGCATGATTAGCCAGATACTGGGCAAGTCATAATTACCCCTCTGGGATTCACTTTACACCTCTGTACAATGAAGCTATTAAACAGATTGTTCCTAAAGTCCTTTTTCAACTCAGAAATTTATGGCTTTAGCTATACACATGGTTTGAGATATATATATATATTCTGAGAATGTTGAGCTAAGCTTAAAATTTTGTTCAACTAATATGAAGTTTTACGTAGATCCTATGCCTTACCATGTGTTACTGATTCTGTTCACATTGGCAGAATTTGAAAGAAAGAGTAAAGTGGCTGGTCCATATGTTCATATGCAGCAAGAGGCGTGAAGACATTTGAATACCCTCTGTGAATGAGTGAAAAAAGTGTATGTTTTGATGTATTCTCAGTTGATCTTGGTTTTCAGGGAGGCTAAATTTATTCCCATCTCTGTGGTGCAGTTTACCAACTTCAGCAATTATCTCTTTTTGAGAAAGTGCATCCTTTCCAAATGCAAGCATTTTGTTGACTTGTTCACAAAATACATGCCATTGTTACAGCTGCATCTGAGGGTGGACAGTGGAGTAAAGGTCCTGTATAATTCAAGAGAGACATATTCTAGGATCGGTGAGTGTGCACAAAATGTGGAGCAAGGAAGGGCCCTGGGTTGAACAGTTAATCAC